CCTCGTCTAAAATGGTGGCTCGGTGGCTGCAGAGCCCTTGTTCCCAGCCGGCAGGAGGGAAGGAGGAAGTGCCGGAAAATAAGCTCCCCCCCGCCAAAGGGAGGACCTGGCCGCCGCACCTCCCCTCTGCTCAGACCTCATTGGTCAGCATGTAGTCGCATGTACATGCCTCGCTGCTGCAAGGGAGAGTGGGAAATGTAGTGTTCAGCTGGGCAGCCCCAAGGCCAGACCCAACTCAGGGGTTCTGCTACCAAAGGAAGAGAAGAGAATGGATTTTGGGGGACAGGTAGCAGCACCTGCTCCACGGGAATATTGACACTGGGTCAGGCCAATGCTGTATCAACCGTCGTTAGCTCTACCATTTAATAGCTATATGTTCTTCTTTTTTTTTTAAGATTTTATTTATTTATTTGACAGACAGAGAGAGAGAGACAGCAAGAGATGTAACACAAGCGGGGGAAGAGGGAGAAGAAGAAGCAGGCTTCCAGCCAGAGCCCGATGCAGGGCTTGATCCCAGGACCCTGGGACCATGACCTGAGTGGAAGGCAGACGCCCAACAACTGAGGCACCCAGAAAGCCCTAGCTGTGTGGTCTTTGGAAAATTACTTGACTTCTCTGTGCTATAATGTGAGGATAAAGCCAGGTCATAGGATTGACAGGATGAAATAGGTAAGCATCTGGAACTCAACAGGGCTGCGATCACTGTGTCCTTCCTAAACTGCTTTTAAAGGCATTTCCCAAAGAAAACTCTGGAAGTCTGAAAGGCAGCGGTAAGATGGAGTAGGTCTTCAGCTCCTCCTTCCTCGGGACAGTCCTCCAGTGGCTGTCTTATAAATTCTGGGCATGTGGTGGGGGACGTGCGTGTCCCTGTTTTATTCCTACATCGCGTCGGAATGAAGTCAGCAGCGACAGTGCTCTACTTATTTCCTCACGCGTGGAAGGCCGCACCCTACAGGATAATGCTTCAGAGTTCAGACTAGCTCAAGCTGCTTGGACCCTTGCTCCGTGGACAGCTGTCACTGTATCATTGGGCATGTCAGTCAACATCTTGGAGCTTAGTTTTCTCAGTCTGGAAAATGGGGATGGTAACAGGGCTGCCACAAGGATAAAATGAGCTGATTCGTGTTAGCACGGGGCACATGCTCAGAAAACACGCCTCGCACTGTGTTTTAGAGATGAATCGTCAGGAGGCCCCTGGACGGCTCAGTCAGAAGACCCTATGACTCTTGATCTCAGGGTCATGAGTTCAAGCTCCATGTTGGGTGTAGAGATTACTTAAAAGTAAAATCTTTAACAAAAATAAATAAAAGTAATCTTTACACCCTCATGACCTGAGATCACCGGCGGGCATGTTCCTCCCGCGGAGCCGGCCAGGTGCCCCACCATAAGTATCATCTACCTTGATAAAGGGGACAAACGCTGAGTATCAGGGAAACGGAGCGCGCTATGCTGGTAAGCAGAGGCGGGCAGGGGCAGCTAATGTGGTTGGGACAGGGGTCCCAAACTACACCGCAAACAGCAGTCCACACGGCCTTGGGGTTAACTTTCAAGCCTCTGCAGTCCTTGCTTGCCGACCTAAGGCCCTTGGTCTGCCGCAGGACACCCCCTTTCCCTGAGGCGCGAAGGGACTCTGGGGAACACTAGGCCTGCTCAGGGTTGTGTTTACGAACGATTCACCGCCCGGGCACCGGCTTCTCCCGCACCGAGCCCCCGTTTCTGGCGCTCTCCCCTTCAAAACGCTCCAGGATCGCTCGGCTTGAAGGCTGGCCCTGGGGTTCGGTCCACCCCGTTCCCAGGTCGCCCGCTTCCTGAATGAAGCCCGGCTCCCTTCCCACCCGCGCTTGTCCCTCTAGCAGGGACCGGCCGCGACGGCGAGGACCCGAGCTCCGGGCCGGCCTTGTGAGCGCCCGCACCGTCGAAGTGGGAGCTCACGGGACGCGGACATCAGGGAGGCCCCGTCCACTCAGCCGGGCAGTGCCAGGGCAGGACCTCGGGCTGCCCGCACCGCCACCGGCGCCCGAGGACCCATTACTACACACTTTGCCCGCAGGGCGGCCCCGCCCCCGGAATGCGCGGCCCCGCCCCCGGAATGCGCGGCCCCGCCTCCGCGGGGGGAGGGGGAGACCCCCGCGGCCCCGCCTCCGAGGGCGGAGCCGGCGCCGCACATGCGCCGGGCGAGCTCCATGTCCCCGCTGCGGGCGCTGCTGGGGCTCGGGCTGCTGGCCGCCGGCTCCCATCTGCGGCGCGTCCCGGGCCAGGCCGGCGCCTGCCGTGCGGGGCCCGCGTGGTGGGGGACGCGGCGGCCGCGCTCGGGCGGCCCCGGGGAGCCTGTGGACATGGCGAGCCCGGCGGTGAAGTACCTGAGGTAGGCGAGGCCGGGGCGGGCTCGCTGGGGGGCGGGAGCGGGGACGGGCCGCGCGCGGGGCGCCGGGACTGAGGCTCGGGGTGTCCGCAGCCAGGAGGAGGCCCAGGCGGTGGACGAGGAGCTGTTCAACGAGTACCAGTTCAGCGTGGACCAACTAATGGAGCTGGCCGGGCTGAGCTGCGCCACGGCCATCGCCAAGGTCAGCGGCCTGGGCACCGCCGAGTGGCGGGGACAGCGGGCCGGGCTGGCGCGGGGCCGCCCAGCGCCCCTGACTGCCCTCTGACCCCGCCTCCAGGCCTATCCCCCCAAGTCCATGTCCCGGAGCCCCCCCGCCGTCCTGGTCATCTGCGGGCCCGGGAATAACGGAGGAGACGGTCTGGTCTGCGCGCGGCACCTCAAGCTCTTCGTGAGTGTGTGGGCGAGGACCCGGGCGGCGGGGCTTCCGGGCCCCGGGCTCGGACGACCCTTCTCCTTTCCTCCAGGGCTACCAGCCAACCATTTATTACCCCAAAAGGCCGAACAAGCCGCTCTTCACAGCGCTGGTGACCCAGTGTCAGAAAATGGAAATCCCTTTCCTTGGTGACATGCCTCCGGAGGTAGGTGGCTCCAGTGCGGGTCCTCCCGTTCCCCAGCCACCGCCGGTGTCCTGCTCCTCCTCCTGTTCCCAGGCCGAGCTCGCTCGCTGAGCTCTCTGGAGGGTGGACTCCGTGCAGGCGGGGGCGGGGTGCCGATCTGGGCTGTTTGAGTAGGGGACCCCTGCCAGTGGACGTGCTCCATCAGTGCCCTCCTGCCGCCTTCCCCGAAGCCCCTCTCCCTTCACTTCCACGGTCAGCGCTTTCCCGCTGAGGCCAGGACGCGTAAGCAGTAAACTGCCTCATCCTAAACCCTTTCCTTAGTCTACAGACCAGGGGTGGAGGTGAGAACTTTAAGTTTAACGCATTCAACAGCGGAAGAGACTGGGATGGTGCAGAGAAGGCAAGTGGCTTGTCCGGACTCCTGGACTCAGGCCGTCAAACCCTGTACCTCCCCAGGGTCCGGCAGGCCCTCAGAACAGATCTGTCTGGGCTCAGCTCGGCCTCATCAATGACCAGCTTGTGCTGAAGTCTAGGCTTGAGAATGCCTCCTAAATCGGTGACCTATTTGTGCCTCTGTGAGGGGTGCATGCAAGGCACAGCCGTCTCCCACCAAGGGCCCCTGTGCGGCTGCGGGCTGTGACGGGCGCCCCTTCCTGCCCCCACAGCCCAGGCTGATCGAGGAACTGTACGAGCTGGTCGTGGATGCCATCTTTGGCTTCGGCTTCAAAGGCGATGTCCGGGAGCCATTCCGCAGCGTCCTCAGTGTCCTGAATGGGCTCACGGTGCCCATCGCGAGTATTGACATCCCCTCAGGTGCTGGGTCCAAGGAGGCTGGGGACCGGGGGGCGGGGATTGGGGCTGGGACCCTGCCCTGTCCTGAGACAGGCACCTGGGCGTCCTCGTTCTTGACCCAAGGCTCAGACCAAGCTTAAAGCTGCGTCTGGAGGGGCAGAACACAGCTTTGTGGGTTCCACGAAAGGGCCAGGGAGCAGAGCTGAGGACTCCTGCCCGTATGTGTTGGATCCAAGAGACCAAAGCCCAGGGGTCCACGGAGCTTCAAGGACTCAACGCAGGTTCCTCAAGTGGGGACACAGGGGCCTCCCGCTCCTTCAGGACAGGGGTAGAGCAGGGCACGAAGAGGAACAGATCCCGTCCTCTTTCCCTGAATACCATCCTCTTCTCAGGATGGGACGTGGAGAAGGGGAACTCCGGAGGGATCCAGCCAGACTTGCTCATCTCCCTGACAGCACCCAAAAAGTCGGCCACCCAGTTCACTGGGCGCTACCACTACCTGGGGGGTCGCTTTGTGCCACCTGCTCTGGAAAAGAAGTACCAGCTGAATCTGCCGCCCTACCCGGACACCGAGTGCGTCTACCGTCTGCAGTGAGGGGGGCCGGGCGGCTGTTCCTCCCAATAAAGACTTCGTGGCCCTCTCCAGAGCCGTGCAATCCGGGGAGCCTTCCTGGCAGTAATGGGTGACAGGCGGCGGGAGCCAGAGAGTGACCTGGCAGACACGGGGCCACCTCTCCACAGGGTCAGAACTGGGTCCAGGGAGGCAGCTGGGGTGTTTGGGTGCAACAAACACGGACTTTCAGAGGCTGAGAAAGCTCCCAAGTGAGGTTCTCTGGGCTGAGCCCTTCCACTCAGCAGGGTGGCGACACGATGGGAGGTGAACACTAGGAATTTCTTTCGAGGCGTCCAAGGAACCCCTGAGCTGTGTTCAGAGGTTCCCAGGCTGGGAGTGGAGAAGCAGGAAGCACACACAGGCTGGCGCGGAGTTGTTTACTCTAGTCTGGGGGGCCGGCGGCCTGTGGGCTGCGTCTGCAGCTGCCATGTCCCCCCCCGCCCCCCGGCAGGCCGTCCACAGGCCCCTTCCCACAGCCCGAGCTCTCGCCCTCCGGGTTAGAAGCTTCAGGTGACGCTGCCCACACCCGGCTCTGAGCAGCTGGAGTTCAGTGGTCTGCTTCCTCCTTGGGAGGGCACAGGAGACCCTGTCAACTGCGGTCTGAGTCCACAGCTCCTCAGAAGGGAGTTCGTGGAGCCCCACACTGACCTGACCTTCACATTCTCTTCTGCTTCTTTCTCACTCTCGGGTCAGCGCTGACTGCAGCTTGTCCCTGCTGCCTCCTCTCGCCTGGGCTGCCTGGGCCAGTGTGAGCCCCGCTCCCGGCCTCCTGAGTCCCGCCACCCTCGTCATCCCCTTCATCCCTTACATCCTCCTCCTCCTCCTCCTGGGGCCTCGGTCTTCTCTTCTTGCTTTTCCTGCTCTTCCCCTTACTGTGCGCTCTGCTTGCTGCTTCCCGGGCCCCACGGTCCACAGCAGCCCCCTCCACCACATCCTCTGCGTTCATGTCCCCCTCCTCCGGCCGCCGCCGTCTCTTGTGTCTGCGCCGCAGCTTGGCACACGTGCCACTCTCTGCCTGCTCTGTCCTGGCGCTGGCCTCATCCTCCTGACCTCGGGCCCCTCCATCTGAGACTCCTGTCTCCTCTGTGCGGTGCTGCCTCCTCTTTCTCTTCCTGTGGCGCTCATCAGCTCGTTCCCTGCTCTCCTGCTCTCCGGGTGCACTTGCTCCTGCGGGCCCCCTGTCCGCACTCCCCACCGCCACTCCCTCCTGCTCCTCTGCCACCACTGCTTCTGGCTTCTGTCTTGTCTTCTTCCTGCTTCTCCAGTCCGCCTGGCCTGCATCTCCCCCACAATCTTCTTCTGCACTCCTGGCTGTTGCTATGGCATCTCTCTCTTTCTGCTTTTTCTTTTTCTTTTTTTTGGGGGGCTTGCTCTCAGACTGCAGTTGAGGGGTCCCAGGGTCCTGGCCTTTGAGACGAGCCAGGAACGCCTGCTCCTGGGCCTCCAACCGGGCAAGCTTAGCCTTCATTGTGATCCCGAGACGAGCGGCCCTGAAACAGACGGGGCCCAGCTCAAAGCGAGGTACGGGGTGAACAGGCCTGGTCCTTGCAGGTGCAGGCAACGCTGGTGGGGGGGAGGCGGGGGATCCCTCCCCTGGGGTGAGAAGTGTACAGAAGAGGCCACCCCCCAGGGCTTGTGATGGGGAGGAAAGAAGGGACCCCAAGGAGCTGACCACTACTTACTTGTGTGCCGTGCGCCCTTCACAGGCCTGGAGCAGCATCTCATCGGTCAGACTGCTGCGGGGAGATCAGGAATCACAAACAGCTCGTGCAAAGGCCTGACCTCTCCTGCCCTCCGAAACCTCCCTTCAACACGGAGTCCCTGTTCAGGACCTGGCACTTTCTAGGTGCAGGGGAAGCAAAGATTAGTACGACATAGTTCCACCCGGAGAAGTCCAGTCAGGCCTGAAACTTGGTCCTTTCTCTCCTCGCACACACCCCCAGCACTAAAATGCACTCACATCTTCGGAGGCTTGGGTCCCTGGTTGTCGTCATCACTGTGGCTCTCCAAGTCCTTGTCTGGCTTCTCCCCACTTGATGTCAGTGTGGCCATCTAGAAGGAGCGATCGTGGGGGTGGACAAAGCCCACTCAACGCCACTGCCAACCCCTCTTGCCTCCCGGAAGCCCCCCGACTCAGAACAGGCAGCCACAGGTGCCGACCTGCCAGCCCCCAACACAGCTCCCTGGAGACCCACAGAGAGGGGAGCCACAGCGTACCTCCACCCTGGCAGGAGGTGGGCTGCCGGGGCGGGTGGGCGGTGGAGCCACCAGTGGGCAGAACAAGAAGGGAGGGGGCATGCTCCGGGTCACTGGGTCCTCCTGGTGTCCCCTGATATCATCCCATGGTGCTTCTCACCGCCCTCCCCAACGCCTACCCGCAGTGCTCGTAACTAAGACTGAGACCCTACTCCGGGCCAACAGGCGGGCACAGGAGCCGAACAGGCACGAGACCAGTCGGCCCAGAGGAGCCTACACGGGGGGCGGAGGGTGGGGGAACAGAACACAAGTGTTGCCTGTGCTAGAGGAGGGGTACCGATCCGACTTCAGGGTTTGGGGACATTTCGGGAACTCCGTGAGCTCTCGAAGACCACCACAAGTGGGCAGGTGAAGGGGGAAAGGGAGCAGGGCGCTGCTAAAGGCCGTGAGTGGGACGAGCATGTGCAGAAACCTGCAGGTGGCAGAGGCGGTACCTTCAAAAGAATCCGATCCCGTCCCAAGGGTAGAGGCCTGAGAACGGTGAGAGCAGGACAAGACCGCAGGGCCCGGTGAGCCAGTCCAACACATCGGGACGGTCATCCTCGGTCACGGACGAACCAGAGCCCCAGTACAAGGCGTTAAGAGAACACTCTGGCCGCTGTGGCAGTGAACTGACTGGGATGGCCAGTGAGACTGGGTGGGGGTCTGGGTAGGAGGCTGTCCCAGCAATCCAGCAGGAGAGGACGGCCACAGGGATGGGGAGAAACGGGAAAGGCTCGCTGCAGAACACGGAGAGCCCTAGCACGGAACAGGTGGCCGTGGAATGTGAGAGGGAATGGGGTGGGGTCAGATAACCTGTCGGGTCTCCTCTGGCCTCTAAGTCCTCTGCACTGGACCTCCCCTCCCGCCCTGCTCTGGCAGGTGCCCGTGCCCCACCACCCAGGCCCCATCCCCAGGCCCTTGGGACCTGAAAGTCTAATTCTGGATGCGGGTCTGCTATCTAAGTAAGTGACGTCTGACGATGTTAGGATAGTTGTAGAAGAGCGAAGGAGGGCTAGGCATGTGAAGCAATGTTCAGGCCCTGGGGGAGACCAGGGAAGCAAAAAGGATGGACCTTCTTAACCCAAGCCCCTCGCACCTTCACAAACTTCTGATACAGCATGTTGGGCTTGGGACGACTACAACGGGTGGTCTCCTTAGAGAGATGCCTTAGCCGTACTCCATCCTGTGGGGAGGTATCAGTAAGTGGGGGACGTGGGTGTGCCCTGTACCCCACACGTCCCAGACCTTCACGGTCCACTTGCCCATCGATCAGCACCCCGTACCTGCCCGGTTTCCACAACCAAGCTGGCTGCAGTCTTGTTGAAGAGCTCATTCCACCAGTGGTCTGTGAACTCCTTGGCAGGGTCATGTCCCACCTGCCAGAGAGAGAAATATGAACTCCGAGGACCTGTCCCTGCTCTGTCCCTGGGGTCCCCTTCTCCAGCCACACAGACCTCCCTCAGCCTGCCCAGTCTTACCCCATGAGTGTCCTGCTTCAGTGTCACCTTGAGGGCCTGGGTGATGCCATTCTCCTTCCGGCCCAGGCCTTTGCCTGCAGGACAGTGAGGGACCTGGTTTATTGTGCCGCCTGCCCCAAGCCCTCACAGGCATCAACACGTGCCACTCCTTGTCACAACACACAGTGAGCACTGGGGGACGCCCTCCAGTCCCCCTCCTTCTGGCGCCTCTCCATGCAGTGTCCCTGCCTTTGTCTGAGCCCGAGCCGTCTCTCCCTCGTGATTGTTTCAGGATAGAGGCCATGACCCTTACTCCCCCACAGTCCTCCCAAACACTTCTTTCTCACGACCCGCTGTCACATTTCTTCCACTCATCCCTTTCCTGGAAAAGTCAGATATTTTCTTCTACAATTTCCCTTTAAACTGGCTTTCCCCCCTCCAGCTGAATGGACTACTTATGGATGGCCCAGGAGGAAGCTGCTCCCCTGGGCTCGCGCAGGGAGCGGGGGGATGTGGAGGGGCCCCCCAGGGATGACCTTGCGTCCATCCATGCTTCAGCAGCTGCTTCTCAGCAAACTTCATCCCATGACTCTTGACCTCTGGGGTGACGCTCATGGTGAGACAAGAGTCCCGATTCTCAGTCCCTCACCAGAGAAGACGCCGTCATCACCCCTTCAAGAAAAAAGGAGAAAGGGCCCAAATCATCCATCAGCTCCAGCCTGACTGTTCTCATAAAAATTCTTTTCTGAACTTGGGGCAGAGACAGAGGAAGGAGACCTGGTCTTTGCTGGGGGGGAGGGACTCCCCGTCTGACCACAGAGAGATCATCAGCATTTCCACAAGTCAAGCAGGATTGGTGTAATTAGTAACACCTAAGTTTACAGAGTGCTCATCACATGATTATTTCATTTAATTCTCCCAGTTCAGGAGGCGTTCTGGAACGTTCCATCAGGGAAAATATCATCCCTCCTTTACAAAGAGAAAGCGTGACTCGCTCTGGGTCACATAGCTACTATGTGTAGGAACTCAGCCAGACGGCTGGCCCGTGGAGCCCCGCTCTTTACCGCCACGTGGTGACAGCTCCTGCAACTCACTGCCACACAAAAACAAAGCAATAAGGGATCTTTAACCTGAGTCATGAGAATACCGAACGGAGCCGTATCTCACAGCCATGCTCCAGCACTCACTGTACTCTCAAGTGTGGGGGCTCTGCACCTCTTCCTCGCTGCCGGTCTTCAATCTTGCTGGAACACTCTTTTTGAAACTGTATAGCTTAGGAAGGGTACCCTTGAGGCCCCTGGGTGGTTCAGTGAGTTAAGTCTCTGCCTTCGGCTCGGGTCATGGTCTTGGGGTCCTGGGATCCTCTCTGCTCAGCGGGGAGCCTGTTTCCCTTTCTCTCTCTGCCTGCCTCTCTGCCTACTTGTGGTCTCTGTCAAATAAATAAATAAAATCTTAAAAAAAAAAAAAAAAGAGGAAGGGTGACCTTACTGAGCATTTCATGCATAACAGGTTGATTCCATGTATTGTTGTCGTGTATTATTTAATGCTGATTGTCCTGTGCTTGGCTAATATCTTTAATTTACAAACAAAGAAAACAAAGCCTGGGTCACAGAGCTAGTTAAGAGAGGGGAGCTGGAAAACAAGCTCAGGCTGCCTACCTGCCTCCAACGTGGCCTCTTCCTACCACGCCACAGTTACAAGCAGCATTTCTTTATAGTCGCACAGGTGCTCCTCCATTTGGAGCCGGATAATGGCATTATCCGGCTTATACACTAAATCTGCCTTTGAAATGGTCAGGCTGGCTTATCACACAAGACACACAAAACTTAGGGCCACCACTGCTGACTCACTGAAAGTTAACTTGTATAAAGATAATTTACTATAGGGCGCCTTCGTGGCTCAGTCCGTTAAGCGTCTGCCTTCCGCACAGGTCAGGATACCGGCTCTGGGACTGAAGAGTGGCAAATTCAGGATGACGTACATTTCTGTTCACGTTTCTACTGTGAGAGGCAATTACCCAAAAACCTGATACCTTAAGAGTCCCGACAGAAAAGCAGGGGGTGAAGAAATGGCTCTTGAACTTATAAGGAAAGTAAAATTCGAACACTGGGGCCTTTAAGCCGGCCTCCAAACCCGGCCTCCTCCCGGAAGTCATCTCTGATCCATCAGCTCCCAGATTTTGATAAAAACAACAGTAACATCTGACACTGTTATCTGACACTGACATTGACAGTCTGCTGACCGCTTTACACGGACCGTCTTCTTTCATCCTCCCACCGACCCTACCAGGACGTGTTATTACCCACATTTGCAAACACACAAATCGCAGGGCAGTTTATTCCTTGCCCAAACCCAACAGCTGACAAGTAGAGGATCCAGGATCCCAGAACTGGTGTGAATTACCCCTCGGCCTCTTGGAGCTCTCTGCGCTCCCTGACCTACGGCTGACCGCCGCGGTCACTGGAAACCGCACGCCCCGGATCGGCGTCGGGCTTCGTTCTCCGACCCCGCGCGCTCAAGGCCGGCGTGAACGCGCTCAGCCGGTACGACCCCGGGGCTTGACCGGCCGGCAGCGGTCACTGCGGACAGAAGCTACGAGGCCCCAGGCTGTGCGCCGCAGGGTCGCGAAGGCTGCGAGCGCGCGTCCGGAACCACCTGCTCTCGGGTCACCCCGAGTTTTCTCACGTTAAAGCGGCCGGGGCCACTTTTCGGACCGAGGTTCCACAGGTCCCCCTCCCCGGTCTCTCGTCTCTCCTGCTGCAGCTCCACCCGGTGGGGCTACTGTCCTGCCCCCGCCTTCGCTCCCGAGCCCGGCCTCCGACCGCCACCGTCCGAGGGGCGGCCGCTGCTTACCGTCAGCGCGGGGGCCCCCTCCGCGCGAACACGTGCGCCCTCCGACCTGCGCGCCGCCATCTTCCCGGAAGCTGCGGGCCGGCCCCTCTAGGCCGCCCACACCATAGAGGCGCCCGCCCACACCATAGAGGCGCCCGCCCACACCATAGAGGCGCCCGCCCACACCATAGAGGCGCCCGCCCACACCATAGAGGCGCCGCCGCCCGCGAGGCCGGCTGCGGGGCGTCACTTGCCTGCACGGTTGCCGCAGGAACGCGCCCGTGCGCGCCCGTCTCCGGGGTTCGGCGTGTTCCGCTTCCGGCCAGCCTGCAGCCCGGGGGTGGCGGAGGGGCTGGTCCTGACCCGCCCGCGGGACGCCGAGAACAGTTTTGGCCGCGACGCCGCGCCAGTCCCGCGCCCAGAGACGGGGAAGGAAGCGCGGGGCGCGCAGGGGCGGCCTGAGCGGGGCGTGGGGCGGCGAGCGGGGAGCCCCTCGGGGGCGGCTTGCGGGGGCGAATGCTCAGCCTCCGGGGCAGTCGTCCGGGGTGTCAGTAGGCTCCCCAGGCCCTTGCGGGCACCCTTGCCTGGTTGGAACCGTTGATGCGAAGCTGCGGGAGACGCGGACCCGGAGCGGGGCGGGGGGCGCTGAGCTAGAGGCGGACCCCGATCGCGCGCGGGGCTGGCGGCCTGGCGCTTGCCTGTAGGTGGGAGGCCCCTCGGAGCAAACGTCGCCGACGGCCGAGAGCTCAGCCGGAGCAGCTGCACAGGCGCCGTCCCGCGGGCTGACCCCACGCTCCCGGTCGCGGTGTTCACGGTGGCAGGCGCGCACCTGCGCCAGGAACCGCAGAGAAAAACCAGCATCTCCCGGCGGAGCTTTGTCACGTGGCTCCGTTTATCGCAGTTCATAAAATTTTCCCCGTAAACAACTTTACTTTTAATTTATTTATTGGGGGGAGGGGCAGAGGGAGAAAGAACCCCAAGCAGGCTCCACGCCCAGCGCCTGCAGCCTGGGGTTCCCTCTCAGGACCCAGAGATCGTGACCTGAGCCCAGATGGAGAGTCTGAGGCTTAACCAACTGAGCCGCCAGGCGCCCAGCCCTGCTTGTTGTAAGAATGCTCCCTGGGGACACAGGGACATTAAACGGTGGTGGGTCTTGCTTAGTGGAATTCCTACAGCATCAGGGATGCGGGATGCTTGGAAGGTACTCAGAGGCTGCTCGAGTTGGGGAAGGTCCTGTGAATGGGAGGCACGTGTGAGTCCTTTCCCCTTTCCACCACTGGTCGTGAGACCTTGAACAAGTCACTTAAGAGCACCCTTCCCCTGGTCTGTAAAATTAGAAGACTGGACTAGTTCAGTCATTTTTACAAACTCGGCCTTGTGGTATTGGGGGCTGCTGAGGGAGTTCCACAACCTGACTTCAGTGTCCACCATGTCTCGCTCCATCTCTCTGTCCCCTCCACCTAGCCAATGTCCTGTATCATACTGTGGTCATGGCAAAGGTTTGAAAGCGCTGGAATGAGGCAATCCCAGGGCCTTTCCAGCTCACAGTTTGTGTGTGGCCCACTTTGCAGGCCACGCCACAAACCTCGTGGCCACCGTTGTCTGACTCAGGGTTCCTAGTCTGGCCTAGGGTGGTGAGCAACTTGTTCTGCCTGACTCACTCGTTCCAGAATTATTAAGCATCTTCTGTAGACCAAGGGCTGGTGGTATAAAGGTGTCCAGCCCTTGTCCTGCTGGGCCTCACCACCTTGTGGGGATATAGCAAGTTACCAAGACTTTATGTCACTTAGAGCTCTGGCCGGGTTGGGACACAGTCCTGGGGCCTCAGCGCAGGGTCCCGGGGAGGAGCTTTCTGAAGGAGCCTCCCTTGAGGGTGCAGGCCAGGCCCTGGGGATTGCATGGGATTGCAAGAGAAATGGGCCTCAAGGAGTTGCAAGTTGCATGGGTCTCACACCTCCTCACGAGGTGGGAATAAAGGCCAATAGGACAGAAAACACACACGACTATGTCACGACTATGTACGTGGTCTGATAAGCAGATAACACGATGCATAGAAAATACTGCAGATACACTTAAAAATGGAAAAATTGTTAAGAACCTAAGTATCCCACAAGAGAAGAATGGCTAAATAAATCAGTGTAACCATACAATGGACTAATACTTAGCCACAAAAAAGGATGTCGAAGAAGGACTTTTGATAACTTGGGGGAAATATCTGTGATATAAATAAAGGGAAAGGGGTGCCTGGGTGGCTCAGTGGGTTAAAGCCTCTGCCTTCGGCTCAGGTCATGGTCCCAGGGTCCTGGGATCGAGCCCCACATCAGGCTCTCTGCTCCATGGGGAGCCTGCTTCCTCCTCTCTCTCTGCCCATCTCCTCTGCTTACTTGTACTCCCTGTCAAATAAATAAATAAAAATCTTTTAAAAATAAATAAATAAAGGGAAAAAAGCAGATACGGAATGGTACCGGTATGGTGAGGGCTTATCCGTGTTAAAAATCTATACATAGGGGCGTCTGGTGGCTCAGTGGGTTAAAGCTTCTGCCTTCGGCTCAGGTCATGATCCCAGGGTTCTGGGATCGAGGTCCGCATCGGGCTCCCTGCTCAGCAGGGAGCCTGCTTCTCCCTCTCCCACTCCCCCTGCTTGTGTTCCCTTTCTCGATGTCTCTCTCTCTCTTTGTCAAATAAATAAATAAAATCTTTTTAAAAATAGGAAATTAAAAGACAATAACAGAATGGGAGAAGATATTTGCAAATCCTATGTCTGATAAGGTTCTAATATCCAGAATATATAAAGAACTCTTAAAACTCAACAATAAAAAGACCGCACAATTTAAAAATGGACCGAGGATTTGAAAACACGTTTCTCCAGAGGAGATCTACAAATGGCAAATTCGCTCATGAAAAGATGCCCAACCTTAGTAACCAGGGAAACGCAAATGAAAACCACAGTGGGCTAGCATTTCACACCTACTAGGATAAGTGTAATTTTTAAAAAAGATTTTATTTATTTATTTGACAGAGAGATCACAAGTAGGCAGAGAGGCAGGCAGAGAGAGAGGAGGAAGCAGGCTCCCTGCTTAGCAGAGAGCCTGATGTGGGCCTCGATTCCAGGACCCTGCGCTGAAACCAAGAGTCTGAGCTGAAGGCAGAGGCTTTAACCCACTGAGCCACCCAGACACCCGGATAAGTGTAATTTTTTTAAGAGTAATGACACAGGTTGGAGAAGATGTGGAAAAAATGTGGAAAAATCATGTCTTGCTGGTGGGAATGTGAAATGGAGCAGCTGTCTTGGAAAAGGGGTTGAGAGCTCCTGAGAAAGTTAAACATAGAATTACCATAGGACGCATGATCCCACTCCTGGGTGTGCACCCAAAGAGAACTGAGAACACATGCCTGTACAAACTTGTACATCAATGTTAATAGAAGCATTATTTAAAATACTCAAAAAGTGGAAACAACCCATATGTCTACCAACTGGGATAGATAAAGGAAACACAGCAGACGCACATAATGGAATGTTACTTGCCCATCAAAAGGAGTGGAGCCCTGGGACACGCCAGAACGTGAGAAAACTTGGAAACATGTCAAGTTTAAGAAACCAGAGACCAAGGTCACATACATGCCGGGATAGGCCAATCCACAGGCACAGGGCAGTTTGGGAGGGGGAGGTGGGGGAGTGACTGATCTGGGTGCAGGGCTTCTTTTTGGATTGATGAGTTGTTCTGGAATTAGATAGTGGTGGGGGTTAAATTCATGAATATCCTAAAAATGACTGGATTGTACTTTAAAAAGGTGAATTTTATGGTATGTGAATTATATCTTTAAAAAACGCGTAGGCACACTATGAGGGAAAACCTCTAAGCTGTTATGTGCGGTGATTCCCAGGTGAAGGGATTACAGGTAAGCGTTTCCTCCTCTTCGTACCTTTTTCCTGGGTTTCAAAAAAATTTAAGATCTGGGGCGCCTGGGTGGCTCAGTGGGTTAGGCCGCTGCCTTCGGCTCAGGTCATGATCTCAGGGTCCTGGGATCGATCCCCGCATCGGGCTCTCTGCTCAGCGGGGAGCCTGCTTCTCTCTCTCTCTCTCTCTCTCTGCCTGCCTCTCTACTTGTGATCTCTCTGTCAAATAAATAAATAAAATCTTTAAAAAAAATTTAAGATCTACTTATTTACTAGAGAGAGAGAGAGCACGAGCTGGAGGGGCAGAGGGAGAGGGAGTCTCACGCCGACTCCGCACTGGGCGGGGAGCCCTAAGCGGGCTCGGTCCCGGGACCCTGCGCTGAAACCAAGTGTCAGATGCTTAGCGGATGAGCCACCGGATGCCCTCATTCTCCTGCAGTTAGCGGATACTGTTTTGTCCGGAAAAAGGGTAAAACAGCAAATGGGTCCAACTCAGAGTTAGTGCTGAGGGACTGGGGTGGAGCAGAGGAGAAGCGTGATCCGAGCGGAGGCGCGGGAGGAAGCGGCGCCCGGGCCCCGCGCCCGCCCCCGCCCCCCGCGCCCGCCCCCGTCCCCGCCCCTCCGAGCCCCCCGCGGCCCCGCGCGCCGCCGGCTCCCCGCGCCCCCTGCCGGCCCTCGGGTGCAGTGCGCGTCCCCGCGGCCGTCAAGGCTCGGAACGTCGCGCGCGCCGGGTTCTGGAGTGTTGGGAAGGACAGACAACAAAACGTTTACTCTGTGCGGTGGGACTGAGGGAGATTTTCACTTTCTAGTGTTTTTATGTTTGTTAAATTGTCTACAATTAAGTATATTAAATAAATTATTATGTATAAAATTAAACATATTAAATAAATGTATATACTATTACAGACATCTTCCTGCAATTAGGCTTAAAAGAAACAATACAGGGCACCTGGGTGGCTCAGTGGGTTAAAGCCTCTGCCTTCGGCTCAGGTCATGATCCCAGACTCCTGGGATCGAGCCCCGCATGGGGCTCTCTGCTCAGCAGGGAGCCTGCTTCGCCCTCTTTCTCTTTCTCTCTCTCTCTGCCTACTTGTGATCTCTGTCAAATAAATAAATAAAATCTTAAAAAAAAAAAGAAAAAAAACCAATACAAGTTGACTTCGAGTTGAAAAAAATTCATTTTGGCTTCATTTCTACATTTCCATCTCTAGATTCCTGGAATTTACTTGGTGTAGGGGAAAG